TAGTTCGATTTAAAGTTTGAAAACAACTTTTATATGTCGTGTATAACTGGATTATCTTGATTAGACGATACTGGCGCGGCATACGAAAGCCTTAGATATTATCTTCTAAACGCGAGTGGAATCTCTCCAGTTTCCCAGTATAGGGTTTGTATTGGACTTGTGTGGTGTGCTCCTAAGGAAATTCGAAGACCTGTGTTTTGAATAACATCTATTGTTTTTAAAAACGTTTTTTTGGAGGAGTTGTAAACCCTTGAGCCGTAGTCCAGTTTGGAACGTACTAAAACCTTGTAGATATGTAGTAATGTAGAAGAGTCGTCGCTTCATTTTTTGTTTGCGAGTGATCGTAACAAATTTATTCCAGGCGGACATGTCTTTTTTAAATATACTAAATGTATCTTCCAAGTTAATTTTTGGTCAATGATCAGACCAAGGAATCTAACTTCGTCTACATATTTAAGCCGTGCTCTATTTAAATATAAGTTCTTCAGTTGTATTTGAAGACTTTCGTAAAACACACTGCTTTGGTTTTGAGGGTATTGAACTGAAGACCACTTGTGAATAACCATTCTTTAATATGATTTATGGCTTTTTGGACATGGTTATGGATGGTTGTTAGGTTAATTCCTTTACAAAGAATAACTAAATTATCTGCATATAGCCTAGCTTTTTTAGGATGTTTAATTTTTGCGGTAATAGAATTTATAACTACAAGAAACAGAGTAGTGCTAAGGTTTGAGCCGTGTGGTATACCATTTTCTTGATTTTTTGTTGCGGAATATACGCCGTCTACTTTGACTTGCAATTGTCTATTTTTTAATAATTTTGTTATGTATTTGAGTATATTACCTCTTATTTTCCATTCGCTGAGGATTTTTAAAATTGACTATTTCCATACTGAATCGTAGGCTTTACTAATGTCGAAAAATATTCCAATACAGTGTTGTTTAATTACGAAAGCCTCATGTATTTCCGATTCTACATCAATAAAGTTGTCTACAGTAGAACTACGCTTTCGGAAGCCACTTTGTTCTGGTATAATTAGATTCTTTGATTCCAGATACCACATGAGTCTGTCATTTATTATGTTCTCTAGCATTTTACTCATATTACAAGTAAGAGATATTGGCCTATATGTTTCGGGATCTGATTTTGATTTACTTTGTTTAGGAATAGAAATTATTATTGAATTTCTCCAGGATTCTGGAAATACATTTTTTGAGAAAATTAGGTGGTACATGCTGAGTAAGTATTCTTTAGATAGGTAGGTGACGTTTTTTAGAAAAATAGTGGGTACATTATCTGATCCTGGGCACGAGTTCTTACAGTTTTTCATTTTCGTTTCTAATTCTCGATATTGAAAAGTTTATTTCGCTGTTATTGTGATCTTCATAGTCTATGGTGTATTTTTCTTCGTTTTTTTGTTCTTTAAGAAATTTGGTAAATAGTTTGCATCGCTTGAGTTTTTTCATGACCTAATGCCAGTATTTAAATTTGATATTTCCTTTTGAGATTTTATATCTTATATCACATTATTTGCTCTACACAGATTTAATTGCCTATTATGTGATTTTGTACCAGTATATTCTTTTTACTTTTTATCCATACAGTTGTTATTGGAGTAGAGCTGTCAATCGTTGAAATGTATGTGATCCAAGATTCGCGCTTTGCTTTTTTGATAGTAAATCTGGCCAAAGCTCGTAGTCGTTTAAATTCTAAAGAGTTTTGTTCATTTTTCTGTCGTTTGAATTTATTAAACGCTTTTTTAGATTGTTGTATTGCTTGTTTGCATTTATGCTTCCACCAAGGAAATGGATGGAATTTACAGGCGGAATTAATTTTTTAACGAAAACGGTTTTTAATCTAAAAAAGAGTTTATCATAAATAAATTATCCTGGTGTAAGAAGTCCAGCATTCTTTGCCCTCGCACGTTTCTTTCGTCATACCCTTTACTTACTCATTGCTACTTCTGCATGATCTTGTTTAAACTCCATTTTTGCAATAAAGTCGCCCATAATTATTGTGTAATATGCTGATGTAGCATGTAACGCTGTTTCTAGGTCCTCATATTATTATTATCCCGTTTTTTATAGCGTTCTCCGCCTTCCGGTTCCCAGTTTCCAGCTACGTCGGTCATTCCATTCGCCAAGGTGAAGGTTTCTTTCCGACATTGCCTTCTGAATGCCGCCAGCCAGGATTGTTTTGGCCTTCCTCTCTTCCTTCTTTCCCTTGGCGTCCATTTTAAAATTTGGTTTGGCAGCCTGTCGTCGTCCATTCTTTTCACATGACCATACCAGATCAGTTGTCTTCTTTGAATTTCGTCAATGATGGTTGACTTGACTCCCATTATATTTCTGATATGGTCATTTTGTGTTATATCAAGCCTTGATTTTCTAGCTGATCTTCTCCAGAAGTCCATTTCCAATGCAAGTAGGCGTCGCTCAAGGGATTTAGTAAGTTGCCATGTTTCGCATCCATAGAGCACTACTTTTAAAGATGGAGTTAAAGAGGAGATGCTTTCTTTGATTTGATAGTTCTTTTGACCATAGCATCGGGTTTAGGCATCCTATCACCCTTTTTCCTTTCACGATTCTTTGCTCTATCTCTTTTTCGGTGCGCCCACTCTTGTTGATTGTTGTTCCCAAATATACATATTCCTCACAGTTCTTGATTGTTTCATGTTCGTTGACCATTAGATCTTCTACTTCATTCCCGATGCATAAGTATTGCGTTTTGTTTCTATTTACAGAGAGGCCCCATTCTTCATATGTTTTAAACAACCGTCTCGTCATGAATTCTAAATCTTCATTGTCTGCTGCCACTACTACTTGGTCGTCCGCAAAATATAGAGTGCATAATGTTGTATCGTCGTCAAGTTGGATCCCCATTCCTAAACAGGATCTTCTACCACATATAATGCCTGATACATTTGTATCAGTTTATGCGGATGACTCAACAATACTATATCGCGATAAAGACATAAATTTTTTACAAGATAAAATAACAAACTCTCTGAAGACCTTCTCTGATTGGTCCAATAATCAGTCGCTCCTGTTCAATGTTCACAAAATTAAATTTTTATCATTTACATCACGTTCAAATTCAACCAAACCTGATTTAAGTATTTCCATCAATGGTGAGGATATTTTGAGTTGTAGTGATGTGAAGTTTTTAGGAGTGACTTTCGACTCTCATTTATCTTTTAAGACTCATTGTTGGAATGTATGTAAAAAACTCAATTCTAAATGTTATCAATTGAGAAATTTGGGTAGAATACTTAGTCTGCAACACCTTCGTCTTTTTTATTTTGCTGAGGTACAATCGACAATAAGTTACGGTATAACTGTCTGGGGTGGTTCTTCTAGTGTAAAGGACGTTTTCAAGGCCCAAAAACGTATTGTCAGATGTATAGCAGGTGTTCCGTATGGTTGGTCTTGTAAAAACCTATTTAGAGATTTGAATATATACACAGTGTATGGAATTTACATTTTGGAATTATTGATACTAATTCATAAAAATAAAAGAACTTTTTTATGTAACAGTGATATTCACTCACACAACACAAGAAATAAGAGACAGTTTGTAGTACCCTATCGACATTTAGAAATAAGCAAGAAGTCATCTACTATCTGTGGTTTACAACTGTATAATCAACTTCCTCAAAATTTTAAAAACATTAATTCAACTACAGCTTTTAAAAACCAAGTCAAAGAGTACCTATTGACCATGTGTCCTTATACATTAGGTAAATATTACGAGGGTGTATCTGTGAATGCCTAAGCTGCAACATAACCAAATTTATTAATATTTTAATTATATGTCTATATTGTACGTTTTTTAAGTATTTTAATGTCTTAAATATTTTTAATGTATTGTTTTCATTTTTTGTAATATTTAATATTTATAATTTTAGTTTTGACTTGCTGTAAACCTAGTTGTAACTTACAGTCAAATAAACTATCTATCTATCTATCTATCTATCTAATCTATTCAGTGTTTTAGTGCTTCATTTAAATAGATCTTAAATAGTATTGGAGAGAGGCAGCATCCTTGTTATAAGCCTTTTGTAACTGGAAGTTCTTCTGATAAGGTGTTGTTTAGTTTGATTTTTGATGATGCTTTATTGTATAATAGATTGACTGCGGCGATGATCGTGCTATTTAATGAAGATCGTTCAAGAGACTGCCACAGCTTTCTCACAGGAATCGTGTCATATGCTTTTGTGAGATCCACAAATAAAAGATGTATTTCCTGGTTTCTTGCATTTTTCTTTTCATTCAGTTGTGTTAGGGTAAATATGTGGTCTACGCAAGATCTTCCAGCTCTAAATCCTGCTTGCTGTTCAATTTCATGAGTTTCGTATTCTTTCTTAATCATGTTTTTTAAGATTTTACCAAACAGCCTGCTAAAAGTACTGGTGACAGAGATACATCTGTAGTTTCCGCAAATATCTTTTGGACCTTTTTTGTTAATTGGAGTAATCCATGCTCCTTTCCAACTGTTCGGGATTTCTTCCCCATTTAAGTATCTTGTGCATAGCACATTTATTTATACATATACATTTTAGAATCTTGACAAAGGCAAGGGTTTCCTGCCGAAACGTTGATTGTTATGGAAAATAAAATCTAGTTCTACATATAATATATATTTATTGAACCTAATCCCAAGAAACACTAATTTTATATTATATATGTAAAATATGTATTATTTATGAAAAAAGATATAACATTCGATCAGAATTATTGTAAAATTGTGTTAAAATGATAATCGAAAGTGAGGTAAATTTTTCTTAACGCAGTTCATTTGTACGTTGCCTACGGGTATCCAGAAATCCGAAACCCAATCCTTGCATTTCCCTTATCGTTGCTGTTCGTCCTTCTCCGCTTACATTCCATTCCATAGACTCCGACTGTCTTCCTGAACGTCCTCAGTGAGCCATCGAATGCGCCGCGATGCAGCCGTCAGCTTCGGGCCTTTTGCGGGCATGGCTGTTCTCGGCACTCGTTGTGCACGCTGCCGTAGCTGGAAATCCAGACGCCAAACGCCTTTACGATGACCTTTTATCTAATTACAACAAACTCGTTAGGCCCGTTGTTAATACTTCGGATGTGCTTAGAGTGTGTATCAAACTAAAACTTAGTCAGCTGATCGATGTGGTAAGTCTTGTGTTTTACAACAGAAAAACAATAACAAAAAACAACACTTCATATATAACAAAGTGTAATTCCAGCAAATATCATTTGCGTATCATTTATTTGTCGCTTTCAAAATTTCTTTATCGTTAGAACCTCACAACAATGTGTATATTTTAATATTTTCTTTTTGGGAGATTATGTAACACCCAAATAAACACTTTTACTGAGTACGTACAAACACCACCTTTGAAGATAAAAAATACATCACGTACTTTGACAAAACAAAATTTTGTTAAATACCTGTTTTTCAAAACAGTCAAAAAACAATCAACTTGATTTATTGTTGTTTCACACCTACCCATTTTAACTATTATTAAGAGAGATGCTGAAATTACTATTTAAACATTGTTGTTTAGTAATTACAACGAATTTATTCGGTGTATTGGAGTAAAACGTCGTAATTTATAATAAAACCTTCATCTTCTTCCTCTTCTTTTATGTAAGCAATTTTATTTGATTATTGACGGGTTGTTGCCTTTATAGAATAGAGTAGAAATATGCTTTACTGTCAGTGAAAATTGTTCATTTTATGGACAAAGCTTACAAAAGGTCCGAAAATATCAATAACAATTACAATTTACTAAAATTACATAAATCGCCAATATCACAAAATAAAAGATAATAATATAAACAATCCATTGCAAAAATTTAATAAAGTGCAAATTGCGGAATAAAACGTTACGAATTTATAAGTTGAAGTTTCTGCATGTAATACTCAAATATTTAAAAAGATACTTTAGTTACTTGTACAGGGTGTTTCAAAAAAAGGTAACCCCGTCTCTAGGGGAGGTACCTAAAGATTTTCATTTTCAAGATACAGGTCGTTGAAGAAAAAAAAATTTTACGCATTTTTTACGATTTTGCCGAAACTAGCTGACAACATTGTAATGAAATTTTATACGAATATGTTTTGGAAGCTGATACATCCCATAAATTTGTTTTTATATCTGATTCTCATAGAGTATAATTATTAATCAAAATTTCAAGTAAACTTAAACATCATTCGATTTTACACGAAAAAGGTACTCTTGGTAAAACTCGATACTGTGTACCGTTTTCAGAATATTTTGATTTGAAAATTCTGAAGTAATAATTGATCCAGCTAGTAATAATAAAGTTCTAATAGGTATACCTCTATTTTCTCCAAGTGTACCATGGAAATCTGACATTTATTTATTGTTATGACGATAAATCAATAATAATTAGAGTTTTGAAACCTTGATATTTGTAAAATCAAATCAAAATGTACTTAAATGTTGAATACACTGACATGTTATTAACCTTAGGCGAATGTTTAGGATGCTCTAGTGCAGCTGTGACACGTTATTCAGGAAAGTTTCCTGGAAGAAACTTACCAAGCAAAAAAACATTTAGAGCCGTTGAACGACGTTGTCGAGTAACTGGGAATGTGAGACCAAATAAAATAAATTCTGGTAGACCAAGAACAACAAGAACGATTAATAAAGAAAATAATATTTTAAATTTACTTGGTCAAGATTCAACAGTTAGCGTAAGGAATATAGCAAGACAAACAAATACTTCTTCTTCAAGTACTTGGCGGATACTGAAAGAACAGCAATTACATCCTTATCATTACAGACAAGTCCAAGAGCTCTTGCCAGATGATCAACCGTTTAAAGTGGAATTTTTGTGCAACATTGCAACAAAGGACAGCCCACAATCCAACTTTTTTAAAATGCATTCTTTTTACGGACGAGGCCACCTTTACGCGACAAGGTATGTTTAACTCCCATAATGCACACTACTGGTGTGATGAGAATCATCAACACTCATTTAAAGTTAATGTTTAAGCAGCAACTTTAGGTAACAAATTAATAGGTTATCATATTCTACCCGGAAATTTAAATGGTGATATGTATCTTGATTTTTTCAACAATTTCTTATTCGAGATTATAGAAGATTTAACCCCAAACGAGCGAAGGTCTTTATTTTTTATGCACGATGGAGCTCCACCACTCTTTGATAGAAGGTGTCGTAATTGGTTGAGTAATCATTTTCCGAATGGATGGATTGGTAGAGGTGCAGAAGCTCCGATTCATTAGCCTCCTCGGTCATGCGATTAGGATGCAGTCTAAAAAACAGAACAACCACTATTATGGTGAAAAATGACACTATTTTTTTTAAATCGGTTGATCCAAACCAAAGTTATAGGTATTTATCCACAAAAATACTTTTCCACTCCCCCCCCCACCCTTTATTTGAATAAATAAAAAAAGTACTTAAACAACTTTGTACAGAATTCAGGCGTATTTCTAGTTTACTTATTTAACACTTGGTATAATTCGGCATATTTCCCAAAAAACTGGTTTTCAAAGTTTTCTTTACTGGTTACGCCCCCTAGCGTTTAATCCAGAAACTTGAAAGTTATTTCCAGCGATTTCTCTTGGCCACTTTTACTAAGTATTATTGTCACTCTGGTCCAACTATATAGCTCCAACTAGAATCCCAATTACATGTGGAAATCACACAATTTCCAAGCCAATAAAAAGCTGTCGATAGAGCAAAATCGAAAATTGCTTAACGAGACCCAAACTGGGTAATAAAACCTCTGCGATATTCGACGATCAACTAATCATATAAAACCGTCAAATTCAATATCGCTTGACAAAATTGAGATGATCATATGGAATTAGTATAGGTTATAGGACATCTCTGTGACTGCGTGAAAAAAAAATGTCGATTAATAAAAATACCTAATTTTGTTAATTAAAACATGCCCATTTTGGAGACAAATGGCAATAACTGTGACAAATTTTTAGTTAAAACTTAAATTCAAATTCATATGTACAGTAAAACTTATACAAAACAATAATTGCTGTATTGTTCTAAAGCTATTTTCTTGTGGCATTTTAAATTAATTACTATTTTGAGAACGATTTCCGAAGTGGAAATTGAAACGTCAATAAACGTACTTTCATATTTAATTGTGGCTTATTCCCAGTTAAATAGTAATTAATAATTGCTGTGAAGTGTATCACAAAAAATATAAACATTTGGAACGATTGGATCGATTTGACTTATTTTAATTTTAAAATATTTGCAGACGTCCAAAGTTTAAAAACTAAGAATATGATGAAATAGTAAGGAAAACATCTGTAACTATCCGCAGGACTATTTACCTTTTTTACATCGCGCCTAAAACACTGGGGCTTAATAAAATCTCTCCGCTAGAGAGAAATTTCTTTTTAATTCATTAACCCTTCGGTGCACGGGTGATAATTTGATACACGAAGGAACGGGTTAGGTCTGAGAAGCCCAAAAATTAAACTAAGAATTTTTTATGTTTAATTTTGTAACAACAGGTTTGCGTTGCATATATATAGGACTACTACTAAAGACAACTTACATGTACATAAAAAAATGAACTACTATTATAATATTAAAACTAAAAATATAAAGAAATTACATACTACAATATGGCAGATGTTTAAAGAACACCTTGTATATAACTTATTCAGTCATTTTATCAATGCATATGCGACAAACAGGTACGGTATGTTCTAAGCAAATAAGATTTTTACAGTAGTGACACATGTAGCGAGTTTTACGATCTCTCTACAAAAAGCACAACGCCCCCTTTTATTTTTGCAATATCGCAGATGCTTCTACTGGTCCAACACCACTGACTTCAGCACAAGCTTTCTTATATCTCCTGCCAAATGAGGAGATTAAGCTCTTGATTTTATATTGTCCATCACTAACTAAAGAATCTTCTTCTTTTGAAAAAAGAAAAGAAAGAAAAAAAGAAAAGAAAAGAAAAGAAAAGAAAAGAAAAGAAAAGAAAAGAAAAGAAAAGAAAAGAAAAGAAAAGAAAAGAAAAGAAAAGAAAAGAAAAGAAAAGAAAAAGAAAAGAAGAAAAGAAAAGAAAAGAAAGAAAAGAAAAGAAAAGAAAAGAAAAGAAAAGAAAAGAAAAGAAAGAGAAAAGAAAAAGAAAAGAAGAAAAGAAAAGAAAAAAGAAAAAAAGAAAAGAAAAGAAAAAGAAAGAAAAGAAAAGAAAAGAAAAGAAAAGAAAAGAAAAGAAAAGAAAAGAAAAGAAAAGAAAAGAAAAGAAAAGAAAAGAAAAGAAAAGAAAAGAAAAAAAGAAAAGAAAAGAAAAGAAAGGAAAAGAAAAGAAAAGAAAAGAAAGAAAAGAAAAGAAAAGAAAAGAAAAGAAAAGAAAGAAAAGAAAAGAAAAGAAAAGAAGAGAAAAGAAAAGTAAAGAAAAGAAAAGAAAAGAAAGAAAAGAAAAGAAAAGAAAGAAAAGAAAAGAAAAGAAAAGAAAAGAAACGAAAAGAAAAGAAAAAGAAAAAAAAAAAAAAAAGAAAAGAAAAGAAAAAGAAAAAAAAGAAAAGAAAAAAAAAGAAAAGAAAAGAAAAGAAAGAAAAAGAAAAGAAAAGAAAAGAAAAGAAAAGAAAAGAAAAGAAAAGAAAAGAAAAGAAAATAAGAAAAGAAGAAAGAAAAGAAAAGAAAAGAAAGAAAAGAAAAAAAAAATCTTCTTTTGCTTGTTTTAGATCCGGTGTGTTTACTTCCTTGTATCACAAATGCAATTTATTACAGCAACATCAAGCAATGCATAAAAGATGACCATGGGCCAGCGTTTTGTATTTCTTGCAACAGTATAGGAACCTCGAAGTTGATCAACGGTGTCTACACCACCTTCGTAGAGATATACAGTGTAGGTAAAATTTTATGGTCGGTATGGTAAAACTTAACAGGATATCTAACACAGATATAAAATCATATTTTCAGCGAATAGACAAAGATAACAATCATATTCCCCCTTGGTCTCCCCTCCATAAATCTTCTTGACGCCCATTTTGCCTGTTAGTGAGACGATTAGTTCCGATCAGAGATATTTTACATATTCTGTGGTTCCGATCCTCATAAAGCTAAGAAACTAGAGGTGGGTCCTTTAGTTTTTTAAATTTTTATCGGAACCGTTTTTCGTAAACTGTAACTAGTTGATTGTTTACCAGTATTCAAATTAGCGAGTATACAAACATATTGGCTATTATCGTTTATGTGTATAAGTATTAAAGTGAAAGAAACTAACGAAGAATATATTTATTATAACTTGAAAAATAAATTAAACAATACAAATAGTACTTACATTTACATGGACTTAAGTCATCTTTATCAGTTTCTTTTTCTTGTACTAGTCAATTTTCAATAGTATAATCTTCTTTTTCTTTTTTTTTATAGAAGTAACCAGCTTCAACCATCAACTAGTTGATTTTAACGAATTTAACCGAAAATTTAGAGTTTAACACGGTTTAATTAGACTGCTGCCATTTTTCTGGAAACCATAATTAAGAAAACATCGCTTTTAAAATTAGTGAAATTATTATTCAGGGGGTCTAAAACAAAAAGTAAATTTTGCAGTAACTGATAATGCCTCAAATATGGTCATAGCTATTAAATATGCTTTGGAATGAAAACATTTAAATTGTTTTGCTCATACGTTAAATTTATTGATGGAGGACGCACTTAAATGCTGTCGTGTACAAATAGATAAAATAAAAAGTCTTTTTTTCGACAATTCGGCAAAAAACACATTTCAAAAAAGTACCTTATCTTCAGAAACGCCTTTAAAGTATCAATTACAACATAACAAAGATCCCAAACGGCCAATCCAAGACGTGGAAACTAGGTAGAACTTCACCTATTACATGTTAGAAAGAATGACGGAGTTAGAAGAGGCAATCCGTTCCACATTGGTATCAGTTAATACAGACTTAGACTTAGACCAAATCTAAATAATGAAGACTGGATTATTTTTTCGTAATTGTCCTAAATTTTACGGCCTTTTAAAGAAATAACAAGTACAATGAGTGGCCAAAAATACTTGAATGATAGTTCAGTGATTGTTCTGGTACGCTGCCTGCAAAAATCTTGCAATAAAATTTTAGCAAACAGTAACCTTACATCCATAGTTAGTATCCGACGTAGTACGGGTTTTTATTACTAATTACGGGATAATTACTAATCTCGGGTTTAGCAAAAAGATTTAGAGGGATAGAATACAGTGGCATATTGTCATTATGTACGTTTATGGATTCACGATTTAAAGTGCAGGGATTTTCTGATAAAAATGACGCTAAAAAAACAAAAGAAAGAGTTAAGAAGCTGGTTACTTCTATAATTAAAGAACAAGAAGATTGTACTATTGAAAATCAACCAGTATAAGAAAAAGAAACCGATAAAGATGACTTAAGTCCATGGTGTATTTTTGATCAATTAATTGGACATGACTCATCTAAACGTACACCTGTAGCGAGAGTCCATTACAATGGTGAAAAAACCATCGCCATGTATCTCCTAACTTAACCACTATATTCATAAAGTATTGTAAATGTGAACACATGTTCAAAATCAGGTTTAATTTTAAATAAAAGAAAAACACAATTAATAAGAAGTAAAGTAAAAAAACTTATGTTTTTAAATGTCAATTTAGACGATTCGTGATTTAATAATAACGTGTAATGTAAACGTAGGTACGATTTACTATTTGTATTGTTTAGTTTAGTTTTCAAGTTATAATAAAATCTTTTATTAGTTTCCTTCACTTCAATAAATATACAGATAAACGATAATAGCCATTATGTTTGTTTATGTAGGTAGTTTCTTACTTGAAACTACTATTAAAAAATCATAGTTACTTGTTTACGAAAATCGGTTTTGCGACGTCAATGACCCACCTCTATTCGTAAATACCTGTTTACCCTTTGATTCGGTGATTTGACCACGCGACACGCCACGTTGGCAAATAGTTTTGTACGAAGCTTTTTTATTTATATGCAGTTTAATATTTTTATTGGAAATAAGGCATAATGTCACTTTAAAATAAGCTTATTTTGATGTTTAGATTTTTAATTCGGAAATCGTTTTTAAAATACCAAACATTAATAAATTTTATTTATATAAAACGATTTCCGAAGTATAAATCAAAATGTTATATTACACTTATTGTAAAGTAAAATTGTGGCATATTCCCAATAAAAAACAATAAGCTGCCATTTAAATCCATTTCGCCCAAATTTCATTATCTTGGAGCATTGTTCAAATGCGAAAAAGACAACAGGTCAAATAAAACCAATAAGTTTGGCAACGTTGAATTTCCCCTTTTTATTATATCCACTCCATATCCACTCATTTATGTTCGGTGATATAAAAGGCGGACACCTAATATATCTCTCTCTTTTTAAACAGTTGTTTCTCACTCCATCTCATGTAAGGTCCATACCGACCATAAACTTTTACCTATACTGTAGAATATTATTGCTTCAGGTTTACTTTCGTCACCCGTTGTCCGATCGATTTAATCATCATGGTGTAGGGTTGACAAAAGAAGACATGTTTTTTTGGTTTTGGTATATAGGACAATATTGTCATATCTTTGGTAAATCCAAACATAGCTGATTTTGGCGGTCTATTGTTCATTAAAAATTCGGTTGGGATATGCCTTTTGTTTTTCCGTAGGGTGCCTACAATTGTTAGACTATGATTTGTCAGTAAGTTTTGTGCGAGTTTAATTGATATAAACCAATTGTCCATTGTGACATTCCGGTTGGATCTAGAGATTGGTTTGCTAAGCCGCTCAATCACATCGTTGACTGCAGAACTGATAGAATATGGACCTGGTGGTTGTATACCGGCATATATTTCTAATTGATAAGTATAGAACGTGCGAGAATCCACCAAGGAAAATACCTTCAGATCGTGGCCGGTTTTTTTGGAAGGTACATTCTAAAACTACAGCGACCTCTAAAGCCTAGAAGCATCTCATCGATAGTGACATATTGGCCAATGGTATAATATTTTTGAAAATGTTCAATTACATCCTCGAATACGACTCTAACTGCTGCAAGTTTGTCTACTTGTGTCCGTTTGTCCCTTGTACGAATATCATCTAGGCGTAAGCACTTCATAAGAAATCGAAATCTGCAGAGAGCCATCGTTGCCGGAAATATGTCAATGCCCGTACCATTTCTTTCCCAAAACTCAAAAATTGAATTTCTACCTCCACGGTAAACTCCAGCTACGTAAAGCAGACCAATCAGAGCTTTTAGTTCACATATATTTGTTAGCCTCGCATCGGAACTGTCTTTATATCTCACGTACACACGCTCGATATATACATTAGTACATTCTAGAATATGTTTTATAATTTTGTCATTAAAAAACAGTTCTCAGCATTCTTTTTCAGTTTTGCAACTTTTCGCTTCACGAATAACTCCAGGAAGTTTTGTTATGATATTTTCTCATCTAGCTCTAACATTTCGTGATCCGCATATCTTATTCCATTTTATTCCATCTTTGGTATTGTAATAAAGGTGTTGGTTTGACTTACCTTGTGGAATACATTCTTGTACGTTTAATTCGGTGTCTGATAAATCCAATTTAGACTCTGAGTTATGATTAGCATCTTCATGTTCTAAGTTGCCAACTATAGACTCATCGGAATCTGAATCTTCATAATTTTTTTTCCTCGTCGGTTGCAACTTCCTCGTAGAGACGTTGCAAATGTTTTGTCCTCTCTCTCTCGTAAGAATACATTGTTCTGCTAAGCTCTAAAAACAATACATTGCAAATTTTGTTTTGTACTTTTATAAAAAAAAAACACATTAAGGAACGGGTTGGTTCTGAGAGAACGAAAGCAGATATATCATCGACACTATTGCTTCAATGCGCATTCGTAACTGAGGGATTAAAGCTAGTTATGTCGACGAAAGGTACTGTTGTATATTTATATAGTTCTAATTTATTTGTCTTTATTCTAATTTATTGTCTACATTCTAATTTATTAAAACTCACGATAACTAATTACTAATTTATTAAATAGCTGTACAAATTTATTTGTTACGTTTCGTTACAAGTAAATCGCGTTTCCCGATCTGCTTATGACTGACTAACAAAATAAAAATGTGTCGTTTATATACAAAAACTTCCGCTACCTGGAAAGTTCGGCGACCTTCTACATTATAGTGGAACTCCATAGATCATCTCGTATTTACGAGGCTCTCGTTAGATAGAGCGGCAATGATCTAACAACTGGTATCGAAGCGGTTCTAGAAAACTCGTTATTCGTCGCTGTTATAGCGAAGGGAACCCAACGTGTCTCAGGTAGATTTTGACTACAAATTACGAGAATCAATAAAAAAGAATTAGTCATAAAATATTTACAGTTCTATATGCCATAACATTTAAAATCGTAACAGTACCTAGACCGCTAGGACCGTACTTAGACTCGCTGACTGAATAGAGATATTAGAACTGAATGGGCCTGACCAAAATTTTTGTATTTTTATATCGTTTTTGAAGGTTCTTTAAAGTTGGTCAACTGTCAAATTTATTTTTCTCAAAATCAGCTTTGCATCAATGACGTGGCTTTTTCCCTGGACTCTTCATTTAAGCACAACAAAAAAAAACAAAAATATTGTTTTTCAGAAAGCAAGAAATTCATTCAACTTTCTTATTAATAATATTTTTTAGTACTTTTTTAGTTTTATGTTATAATTTTTGATTTTTGAACTTTGACACATTATTTAATTCTCAGCCGTTACGAAAAGAGAAATATTACTAAGTAATATTTAATTAGGTTCTAGTCTGAATCATTTCAGTTATTGGAATTTTTCATTTCTTCTAATAAACCTGTAAACGTACTTTTTTAGAATATAAAAGTTCAAAAATTGTACGTTTTCTCGAAATCATTTTGTACTCGCTTTAATTATGTTTTTTATTTGTTTCAGAACTTAAAAAACCAAATTATGACCACTAATTTATGGGTGGAACAGGTAAGTTGCACAGTTATTTGTAATTATCTAATAATATTAATTGGACCAAGAAGGAAATGCCGGAGAAATGGGCGACACACACACGCAGTGATCAATCCTGCCCCTAAGGAACATGTATATACCATTGTAAAGTGGGATCCACATGTCTGAAGATCAAACGGTCTCACTATGCTATTGAAGTGGTACCTATCTGACCCCCAGGCTTTTCCTCCAACCCTCGTCGTGTGACTTACTTGAGGAGGCTTATGATCTGAAAGTTACTTAAGGTGCCCTGGGTAATAGGACACCCTCTGTTGAACAAAATTGTGATCTGGGGTCAAAATAGACCCGGCCAGTCCGATGACGGTTAAGAAAAGCAGAAATAGAGACGAATTTGAAATGTTTATTGTTAACCTTCATTAGTGTAGAGTCACAAATCAGAAAAGAGCTGCAAAGGAAAATTTTTTATACAAGAAAATGCGAGGAAATCGAAGAACTACATCTCAAACATGACACTTTTAACTTACATAAAAAGATAAAGGAACTGACAGGTACACAAAAACGAAAACATCCCAATCTCCTATGCAACGCAAATGGTAAAATAATAGCCGATCTACAAGAAAAGCTTAGGACCTGGAAGAAACTATGTAGAAGAATTATTCGACGATGAAAGACAAGAACCTAATATAGATAACTTGCAAGGCGACGAAGGACCAGAAATAACTAAAGAAGAACTATTTAACGCTATAAAAATAATGAAAAATGGTAAATCACCGGGTCCAGACGGGCTCACATCAGAACTTCTTAAGCTTGTGGAAGGCGAATCAGTGAATATTCTACTCGACCTTTTTAACTGCATCTACAAAAGAGGAGAAATACCAAAGGAATGGCTACTTTCAACATTTTGTAACCTTACCAAAAAAGGCAAATGCAAAACAGTGCACTGACTACCGCACTATAAGCTAATGGGGCATACATTAAAAGTATTCATCAAAGTAATCCACTCAAGAATTAACAGAAAACTAGATGCAGATATCAGTAATACTCAATTCGGATTTCGGAACGGGCTTGGAACAAGAGAAGCACTATTTGCACTTAACTTCATATGCCAAAGATGTCTAGATATAAACCAAGATTGTTTTATATCTAGACATATAGACCAAGATTGAATAAGGTCGGTCTCACCTCAACCATTCATGGTTGAAAACTTGAGAGAATGGTACAATTGCACCAATTACCAACTGTTTGGATCTGCAGCATCAAAAATACGCATAGCTTTGATGATAGCCAAACTTCGGAACGAAGACGGCACTTGAAGAAGAAGAAGTGTAGAGTCAGCACTACAAGAAGAAGAATTTTCCATTAGTTGTTTTTAAGGAAAATGGCAACCGTTGGTAATATTTTAAAATTACCCTTATCCTTATTACCAAATTATAAATATACATTGTTTTGTTCGATGTGTTTCGTTGCTTAATTATTTCTCTTTCTCGCTCTTAGTGACCCCTATTATAAGTTAAAATTGCCATATATATCGCCATTTCAGTATTACTAAACTTGTTGAGTGACTTATCAAAAGGACAGAAATTTTGACAGAGTAAGGTTGGATAATTAAAGAAACATTAATTTGCGTTCAATTAATAACTTAAAAGGAATGGGACAAATGTGCTAATTACAGAGAAATCAGGTTAGTAAGTCAGAAAATGAAGTTGTGGCGGAGACTGGAACTGGAAGGCGAATTAGAAACGGGTCGAGCCTGTCGATTGTGCCTAATATTATGGAGTAATGATTAACGAACGATACTATTTCGAATATTGAAGTAAATAGTTAAGTTTAAAATGTAACAATAAAACACTGAAAACTTTGTTTTCAAACTTCCACAAAATTTATTTTAACCTCTTATCACTACACTTGTTTCGGTTGATTGCCTTTCTCAAGTGATCTATTTTTGGCATACGTTTACACTTTATAGTCTCTAATGAAATAGGTTGAGGAGGGAGAACTGTTTGTCTCAAGTTGGTCATTCAGAATTGTATCTGTGTTTTTTAATTTGTTGATTTCCATGGATTCTAATAAGGAAAGCTTAAGGCCTTTATTTTGAATGAGAAGAATTTTAAATTCGTCATTAAAAGAATGAGTGTGATCTAGAAGGTGACGTACGTATGTATAATCTATTTTTCTATTATTGAAAGCTCTTATGTTCTGCTATTCGTTTATTCAAGTTTCTACCAGTTTGACCGATGTAAGTTTTTGGGCAGTCGCCACATTTAAGTTTGTACACACCACTGTGTAAGTGTTTTTTATTTTGGCTCTTGTTGTTTTTGATATATTTGCTAGGTTGTTATTTGTTCGGAAAGCTGGTGTTATTCCTTTCTTTTTTATGTGTTTGGCTATATTTGTTGATATTTTGCCTGTATATGTAATCGAGCAGAAGGTACTGGGTTTTTTCTCTGGTGGTGGAAATACTAATTTCAGGACTTTCTTTTGTGCAGTTTTTGATTTAACGTTTTATTAATTGTTTGTTCGTTGTATGCGTTGTTTACTGCTATTTGCTTGATGATATTTAATTCTGTCTCAAAGTTGTATTTTAACATCGGAATTTCTGTTAATCTATGTAACATACTATGATAGGCTGCCAGTTTATGTTGTGTTGGATGGGATGATGAATTGTGTATAGTCGTGTCAGTATGTTTAGGTTTATGAAATATGGAGAAGTCATGTTTGTTTTTAAGTCTGATAATTTTTAGGTCTAAAAAGTTTATGAATTGATTTTGTTCTGTTCTATTGTAAATTCAATATGACTATGAAGTGAATTAATATACGATAAAAATTGATCGAGTTGCCTGTTAGTTTCTGTGAAACATACCAGTACGTCGTCTACGTATCTCCACCAATATAAAAACTGTTTAAATACGGGATGTTTTGAAATCTTTGTCTCTAGATGATCCATAAAAATATCTGATAGCAATGGGCTTAGAGGATTGCCCATTATAAGTCCGGCACTGTTATTTGTATATATTTGATTATTAAATTCAAAGTAGTTCTGGTTTATGCAAACTTCAAGAAAATGTAAAATTTCAGATGTAATTATTGGATTTGTACTATTTTGGTCTAAAAGGTTTTTTACTAGAATAAAAGTTTCTGTAGGAGGGATACTAGGAAAAAGGTTTTTTACGTCAAATGAAATTAATCTGGAGTTGTTAGGTAATAAATATAGGTAAGGTTAGATAATAAAATACAACATATTTAATTCTACAGAATTATCTGTAGAATTCGATTCAATCATTCCGTAGCACCATCTCACTTATTTAAATTAAAAATTGTAAATTTCCCAAACTGCGAGTGTGAGGAATATGGCACACTAGATCATATCATATTAAATTGTAGTAAAAATAGAATAAAGATCAAAATGTTTATAGAAACCGTTATAAAAATAAAAATTTTAGTAAAACCCATCAATCTTTGTGGGTTAATAGTTGTGGGGTCTTAAAGCATTTTCAATCTTTTTTCATTTTTATTTCCAGAATTTCCTCGCATGCTTGTCAAACCATTTTCGTTTTGGGCAAGTCCTCTTTTTTCCAATGGTTTCCTTGGCTGCTTGTTCTATAACTGATGCCACTTGTTGCCATGCTTGTTTTAACTCTATATTCTGCTCTTCCTCTCCCAGCAATTGGAATATGTTGCTTATTGCCACTTGATGGTCCAGTTCCTTATTTCATGTTTGTAAAGCTTCTATGTTCCATGTTTCTCTTTTTTCTTATTTTAGTTTCTGTATTGATAATCGCATTCTTAACCTAACTTCCTATCTTCTTCGGCATCTTCTGTTGGGGCATATATTGAGAATATTGTGAGATTGAACCACTTACCCTTGGGTCTAATATAGCAGATTCGTTCGTTTATTGGCTTGAAATCTATCACTGCTGATTTTAGTCGCTTTGCAATGACAAAGCCACCTCTGTATTCATGTCCATTCTTCATACCCAACCATAAGACTATAGTATCTTCCATTTCCAGAATTCCCATTGCTGTCGATCTTATTTCCTGTATTGCTGTTATATCCATGTTATACTTTTGTAGTTGTCTAATGGCTCTCGTCGCTATTCCAGGTATGTGCCAACTTAACACATTCCACATTTCTATGCAAATGTCATTATTTCGTTGCAAGTTTCGTTTATATTTCCTATCCGTCCTGTTCCAAGGCAATAGTTTCTGTTTCGTGGCTCCAAATTTTTACATGTACGGAATACCAGCCCTTAGCACAATGCTCTTTTCGGAGGACCATTTCACCCGCTCTCATTAGTTCCCGACCTAACTTTCCACCCGGGTTGGATACCGGATCTCCAGTTGGGTTGCTCGGTTTAACAGGAAGTACCATCGTGAAGGTGGCAGTTGGATTTGAGTAGTTAGGTGGAGTATACTGGAAGCAACTTTATATTTTCGCTTTCTACCCATTTACCCATATATTTCTAATATTCTTTTTTGATTATTTGCACGGCATTATGCATAACTCGACCAAGCGCCAAAACATAGTTTTGAGATAAATGGGTTCAAAGTTTTTCGTTTCTTAAAAATACATTTATTAATATATTTGCACAAAATTTTAGCAGAAGAATGATCACGTACAACTATTTTTGGCTGCAAAGTTTCAATATAATCTCACCTACCATATTTAAGAAAAAAATATAAAATGGCGCTTGGTCTACTTATGTTTTAAATATATTTCAGGAAGTTTAGTCGTTATACATTACTAGACCAACTACCATTTATGTCATTTGGTCTATTAATGCAAAACAAAACACTGCGATATGGCTATTGTAATCACTAAAATAAAACTAGTATTTTTAAATTTTTTATGTTAAACGTATATTGCTATAACATAATTAATTCTATAATCACTTAATATATTTTTTTTACCTTTTATTGCTCTAAATTTATTTTACCATTCAATAGTGTTAATTTTAATGCAGATAAAATTATATCAATAAAAAAATTTAGTTATACAGAGTTTTAAAAAGAGGAAAACTAAAGAAAACCATTTTAATAAAAAAAAACATTTTTAATCTACACATTGGAAAGAATCATTACAAAAAAATACCAAGAAAATATACAGTTTGTTAGATTGCTAACTTTATTGGTCATCTATTGGAAAATCGAGTTCACCATTAAATCCTTCAATGTCATCTTCCACATCATTGTTACTAAATAAGGACCTATACACTGGTTTTGCATCCAATGGTATAAATTGCAGTAAAGATTTTAGATCGTCTAATTTTGGTTTAGAAATAGGTTTACCTTGTGGCCAGAGTTGAACCAAGTGTTCACTAAAATTGCGGAGATATTGAATAATGGGTCTTCCTTTCCCTTGTTTTTTAGAAATATCTATTTCTATGAAAGTATCCTGATTAAAGTCACTTTTCATTAAAATAGTACGAGGTTTTTCTTTTTGAATGTTAATTTCCCTTGTTTTGAGCCAACTCACCTTACCATTTGTAACATCAGTTTTACGATTGGTAATTTGTTTTTCCAATATTTCTGTTCCCACGAACTCTTTATTTGTCATTCTGTGCACAACTAAAGGATTTTTTTACGACATGCTTTCATAATTTCGATGTAATCATTTACTGTATACAACCGTTGTTACAGTTTGAGTGCAGATTCGATATTTCCAAAATCTGAGTCGTTAGGTAGAAAACTGTGTCCTGGGAGAAGATACCTCAATGTAATTTGTTCAAGAGTAGAGTGACTTTCCAAAACTGTTTTCATTATTAATATAATCTTGATGTTGCGGTTTTCGCCACCACATGAGTCAGACCAAAGGATTAATTTCTTGGAAGTCACATTTTCTTTAATGTGTTTTCTAAGGCAGCTGCCAACTTCTTGAGCACCTCTACCTGCTTCTCCTTCAATCCAAACATAGCAATGTCCTTTGTTCGTTTGTCCACTGTGTATGCCTAAGTTGTACACACACAACTGCCTTTTATAATAGACTATATTAGTCGGGATTCTAGGAAGAGGCAGAGTTTTCTCTAGATCAAAACATATTACTTACAGGTAGCAATTCACATAAATCCTTAGTGTTTAAAGCAGCGAATGTAGCAATATCTGCCGTTAAGGATGTTGGTGTAGTATCTAGTACAAAAGTTGTGGTTAGTTCCTCAGTATGTGTATCTTGTTAATTTTCCTAAAAAAAAACAGCATATGTAGCTGACAGAAATAAAGAATATTCCGATCCATTATAGAATTTACATTTGCAAAATCTCTAACAAACTGATTCTGTTATAATACATAGTCTAAAATGAATTTTGAGGTTAACCTAGAAACTGATCTATAGTTTCTTACCTGTAAAGATGCTGCTTTGTTGTTGAAACAAAGTGCAACCATTTTTTCCGTTCTCGACTGAAACCTGCTCATATTTGAAAATAATTCCGCAATTTAAAAGTTCAGTAACAGATAATACACAATATCGAATAAGAATACACTTAAAATACTTTGATTTGCGTACACAATATAATACTTGCTTGAGTATTAAACAAATTTAATGTTATTCTAACCAGACAGCCTAGTTTGGCATAACCAGACCAAAGACGCTTAGTCGGCGCTTAGTCTATTATGGCAAAACTAAGAATGGCAGTTAAGAATATAGTCTTGTTATGAAAAACAAAAAACCCTTCATAGACAGAATATCGCTTGGTTTAACTTTGTTTATTTTAGCGACCGTTAACGTGACAATAACAGGGATTTTTTCTAAGATAGTTTTAGCTATGTGTCACCCGAATCTGTTGAAATCTCGATTTTAAAGAAATGGCGCTTGGTCGAGTTATGCATAACGCCGTCCATTTATTAAAATTAAATTGTTTAGATAAAAAAAAGGTGCTACTATAGTATGTGGTCTACCTGAAGGATTTGCACAAAATAATGAAATGCAAGAAAACTTTTATAGAAAAAATATTTATTCACAAGTTGTAAACATTTGGAACCATTTGGAACTTAATTGATTAACTTAATTTTGTAAATCTAGGTACAGATTGTGTACTCCTGCTTAATATAGTGTATTTTTGGTTGTTGTTTCAGTCATGGTATGATTACAAACTCCGATGGGAGCCGAAGGAGTACGGAGGGGTCCAAATGTTGCACGTGCCGTCCGATCACATTTGGAGGCCGGACATTGTACTTTACAACAAGTACGTACACAATCATTAGCAATCTTAAACTGTACAGAACTTTTAACTTTACACGACTTTCACATGTATATATCTTGGTCCTTGTAATGTCTCCTTAATCCTAACATTTGCATGTTGTTATTAGATTTATTTTAACAAATACTTCACACGATAATCAAATATTTTTCTATAATAGTATATTGCATAACGAGAGTTGTAAGAAGTTTATGACATGCGAGTAAAAAAGTTGCGCGCGAGCCGCGTAGCGGCAAGCGCAGTAATTTTACAAGCATGTAATAAGCTTACAACTCAAATTGTGTACTATACTTTTTCCACGATTATTTTCATTAATAAAAATAAAAAGTTTAACAAGTAACTTTTATTTATTTAACAAAATTCGGGAACAATTTAAATTAAACATTTATTTATAATAATTAATTGTAAAATTTTGGCAATTATTTATAACTATACACTTATTCCAGTTTGGCGGTTATTCAATAATACGTGGTGAATGGTGAGATGACGTAAACTATAGGATGTGTTCTTTTTGAGCATTGGTGTTTTCAGTGTATGTAAAGGTCTGTAAATTACTTTCAATTGTATTTATAATTCTATTGGCTGTTGACGTCTTATTATTTATTGACTCATCGACATATCCTTCGGCCGTTGTTGAAGATTTCCATCCGCCCATTAAATCACCACCAGCATCTACCAAAATAGTGGCAGAAGTTTCGTCTTAAACAGTGACCTGCGTACATTTTGGGATCTGGTAACTTTAAATATTCAGCTATTTGTTTAGGAAAACAGCCTATTTTGTTTAATCCTACCACCTGTTTCGTACATTTACCTCTTTGATAATTAAGAAAAAATTGATTTATTTGCGGATCGCTAATCTGTAGTCGAATTTCTATATATTGTATGCAGATTTTATAGAAATATCCGGAATATCCGGAAGATCTACATATTTTGGTTTTCGTATCAGGAATTTTAACCAATAACATGGTACTTAAATCATTAATGTCACAAATTTTAAGATTTTTTTACTATTATTCCGCAAGCTCACTATTCATAATTGCATAAATTAAATAAAGTATTATAATAGGCCATTATGTTACTTTAATAACATACCTTAACAGTACTGTACACAGAGCTTAATTTAAAAAAGTTTTATTTCATCAGGATGTAAAATTTTAGATTTTTTGTTTTTAAAACCATCTGATTGCCTTTTTAGATAAGCTCGCAATTTCGGGTAATTTTCAATATTAACATTATTTTTAAAAGTTATAACACTTCTTAGCGTAGAATATATTGCCCATAATGAGGATGGTTTAAATTTCTTAGCGATTTCTCCAAAATAAGCCAAGAGTACGTTTTCAGAAAATGAATTTACATTATTTGTTGTACGCCAATTCATAAATTGCTGATATACCTTTTCATATCTTCCTCTAGATTTTTCTGATAATAGGTTGTCGGTAGTGTTCGCAAATTATCACTATATTTACACTGACAGATTAATAATTTTTAATCTGTCAAAATAACGTCTGTTAATTCGTTTCCATGGTAACTCGACCAACTGACTTACGAGGCTTATGTGATATTACACATTTTTATAAAACTAAAGCGTAATTTTTTTTATTACGTGCTAGTCATTACGTGTCAGTATCTGTTATGATGCATTTACTTAGCATCCAAACAGTAGGTAATATACAATTTACTAGTAAGAGAGTAGAAAAAAACATTGTCATGATTGAATGGTTCAACTATATCACGTAGTTAATGCTGTCATGACAGATGTTGTTCTAATCTTCACAATAACGATCTAATGTGATTGAATGTCGTAAGATAATCGCATTCAGCCATTGAAGCAGCTTAAGATTAATTTGTAAAGAAATGCCGTTAGTCACGAAAGGCACAAGACAAAGGAAATTAAAGCCGTTTTTTGTTGCAGCCGCTCTAATGACTGCGACACTTAGGGATACATTTAAAGGGTATATTTCGATATAAAAACTTCCATTATATCACTTTCCATTATCATATCTCATTATCTTAACAGTTTTTCCCACTACGAAGATACTTCAAAATCGTAAACAAGTTTTGTGAATTTTTATTTAATTTTAATATGTAATTGAAGGGTTCGGAGCCAAAACAAGTCAACTCAATTTTTATAATTTGTGGAAAATCAATAAAAACTTTCTAATATTGTTATTTGTAGGAATTTTTTGTCATAAAAACCCAATTAAGTATTTGTATTGGAAAATAGTTTAATACCAAACTGATAACTAAATATTGTTTGAGACTTAGTCAAAAAAAATTAAAGTCTTGGAGTTAACTGTTTTTTGCACCAAACCTCCAAAAAATACACAAATAAAGCAACATTATTGAGTCACCATTTATTTATCATAAAATAAAAACCTAACTTTATTTTTTAACTCAAAGCAAGTCTAAAAAACTAAAAAATAAAAGAGACCACAGGAAAAATAACAAATAATGTGATAAAAATTTAAAAAACAACTTTTCAGCAAAATAAACCGATATATAAAACTAGAAATCTTCAGTTTCAACTTCGCCACTGTCACTATCCAGTTCTTCTCCTTGTTGTTTTTCATTTTGATTTGTGACTAGTATTTGTTCGTAGTACCAGTAATATATTGGAGGTACCTATTTATCTGCCCAAGACATCACATTTTCTATTTTTTTGGGTTTTATTTTAAGCGGAGTAAGTACTTGGCCATACTAAAACCGCGTTAGGTTTTTTGATGACAAAACATGAATATAGCGTGGTACCTGCTGTAACACTACACTGTATATTGTTTTTTATTTCATATTTGAAAAGACGATACTTGGAGATGGTAAATCTTTCTTTTTGTTGGTTACTTATGTTTATTTACTTATTTTAAATATAAATAAATTAACACTGTATATATCACATAGATTTTTAAAGAATAATATAAGCAATACAATATAAAAAAATGACTTTACAATTAAAACATGTGTACTGCACAATAACAAAATAATATTTTACTGTAAAATATATTTAGCCTACATTAACAAAAAAGTCTGTCAGCTTGGTCTGTTATCCTTTCCATAGAACTGACCTGACCTTGTCCTGAAGACGCATATAATCTTCAACAGCACTCATATCATCTTCCTGGTGGATTAAAAATCGATGCAGTACTTTTGCCGCATCCAATGCCTGCTGAGGGGTCGGAGCTGGTCCTGGCTCTGCTTTCACTTCCAGGTCACTGTTTTCTTCTTCTTCTACACGAACTGCTTGTAGGATGTCCTTGTCAGAAAGTCCAGATGTTGTAGCTACATTTTCATCAACTTCTTTAAAATCTGTTAGCTCTTCCGGTCCGTAAGTGATAATAAGTTCAAACTGTCTGGCTCAAACATCTAATAGCAGGTCATCTTCATCATCAGTTAATCCTTGATCTTCCAGCCATCCTGCGTGTTTGAAGAAGTGTTTTATTGTATTGTTATTATTCTCAACCAATTCCATCAAAAGTCTTCTCCTGTAATGGCTTTTCAAACTCTTGATGATACTTTGTTCCATGGGTTGAAGTACACTGGTTGTGTTTGTTGGTAGAAGACAAAGTTCAATGTTTTGAAGGTCGCACAGTACAGGATGAGTAGGAAAATTGTCTACAAGCATAAGAATTTTTTTCCTTTAAGATCGATATCCTACTTTCGTAACGCTTTTCAAAAATTTCCGAAGTCATCCATGCACTCTCGTTTGCTTTATAGGTCACCGGTAGATTTTTTATGCTTTTCAAAACACGTGGTTTTTCAACTTCCTTATCACTAACAATGTTGGCGGCCAGTAAAACTGTAATGCGTTCCTTAGAGAGCTTTCGACCAACGTACATTTTCGATTTAAATTTTAAGTTCTGTTTGGAGTCATTTTGAAAAGCAATCCAGTCTCATCAGCATTGAAAATGTCGTCTGATACATATCGTGCTTTCTATCATTAGCTATTATTATGGCGATTCTAATTTTATTTACGGTTGTTTTGAATAATTCGTTAGTGGTACAGCCAAACCACTCTCTTAAATTGATCATCCAGGATATTCTTCTACGGCCTGGATTTCTAAGTCCTTGGATTTTACCTCACATTATAAATATTTTGTAGGAATGTATACTTTTGTCCTCTCATCATGTGGCCTAAGTATTCAAGTTTTCTCTTTTTATATTCAGAATAACTTCTGGATCGTTATTTATTCTGCGTATTACCTCTTCGTTTGTAATTTTATCCACCCAACTTATTCTTAGTATACGGCGGTAGCACCACATCTCAAAGCTTTCAAGATTTTTAATATTCCTCTGTTTAAGAGTCCATGCCTTAACACCGTAAAGCAAAGTACTGAATACATAGAATTTTAACATTCTAGTTCGTAGATGAATACTAATATCACGATTACAAAATAATTTTTTCATTTTTATAAAGGTAATTATCAATTTCCATACGACTTTTTATCTCATGATTTTGGTCACCTGTTTCATTGATGAGGGTTCTCCAAGTATTTGTATTCGCTTACTTTTTCAAGTTGGGTACCGTTTATTGCGATACTAGTGTCATGTATTGGATTCTTACTAAAGGTCATATATTTGGTTTTTTTGACGTTCATCCTTATGCCGTAGTTATTACATATCTCATTCATACTTTCAACTAGATGTTGAAGATCTTCCACTGTGCTTGCCATTATCACAGTATCGTCAGCATATCGAATGTTATTAATAACTTCTCCATTGACTATTATCCCTTTGTTTGCATGTGAGAGAGCTTCTTCCAGTCCAGGCCACACGTTTTCTAGCCAATCATCCGTTACGTTTTTGTTATCATCGTGAGTCTCTCAGCTGATTTGCCTGTAGTTGATCTTGTGCTGCAGCTTTCACTTACTTAGCCAACCCTCAGATGCCTTGAAATTCTCAATTCCAAGCTCAGTTGCAAAAATTCAGCTTTTGTCCTGACCACAGGCCTAGAAAGTGGAATATGGTTCATACGCTGTTGCTGGAACTACTGA